TATTGTGAAATCCAACTAACAAACCGTTGGATTATCTTTTCAACTACAACGATTAGATTTTATTTACTTAATTGCAAAATCATAATGAAATACTGCATTCAACGGTCATCTATTGCGAAATGAAGTATATTATTTAATAAATAAAGTCCGTTGCGTGCGGTGAGTCCGGCGCCGGCCAATGGACGCGTACCTTATGAGTACATTCGTTGAAAACAAAAGAGACTTTGAAAACAAAAAGCTTACAGCTAGCTGCAGTCTAAGTTAAGTGTACTTAAATGTGATTTAACTTTGTAAAATTTTCATAATAATATCAGCGAAATCCCTCAAGTGTTTTGCAACCTTCAAACCGAACCTCGCTCCATTGGCGATTATTGAAACACCTGAAAGTACGAATTTTGTATTATTCAGAACACATGTTGGCAAACTCGTTTACATAATAGTTTTGCAATAATACTTTGTACGAGTTAATTTTTTTTGTCACACACACAAAATTTCACTACTTATTTCAGCAAATAATTAATAATAGAAAAACTATATTTGTCTAAGGAGTGAAAGTAATGCGGATACAGTTGTGCCCGAAATGCAAACGTTTTAGCTGCATATTTCTAAAAAAGAACTTTATTTATAAGTTATACACGTAAGGGAGTGATTAAGTATTTTTGAATAGATGCTTTTTTGAAACGATTGAACCAAAATGTAAAATATAATCTTCAAAAGATAAAATATAACACGTATCTCATTACTGGTGGTACTGTGCAGTACTGGACCTCTTGTGAGTCCGCGCGGATAGATACCACCACCCTGCCTATTTCTGCCTTGAAGCAGTTATGCGTTGCGATTTGAAGGGTGTTGAAGCCGTTGTAACGGTACTATGACTTTAGAACTCATATCTCAAGTTGGGTGGCGGCACTTATGTTGTAATGTCTATGGTCCGGGAACCACTTAACACCAGGTGGCTGTGAGCTCGTCCACCGATCTATGCAATAAAAAAGTGCTATTATTAAGAAATTCCTGAAAACTATTTTGTTTTTGAATTTCCATTTATTGAGGGAGCCACTGTTGATTTTAAAATTTTATGGATAAATTAAGAATATAAACATTCGATTGAAGTCGCGGGCTACGATCTGTTGTACACATCAGCTGACTGCGCACAAACTAGGTCAATATAATCGAAGCGACCGTGGATTACTTAAATCAACTCGTAAATTATGGTAATGTGGGCCCCCTATCAGTTACACCTCATTAGCAGTAGACATTATCAACTAAACATTTCACAGTCTTTGATTAACAATATCTATGCATATGCTGATCGTGTTAGGACGTCAAAACTGTCAACATGACAAACAACTATTGGAAAAACACTGTGAATCTACTGATCTAGCCGGTTCGTGAGTAACTGAAATAAATCCTTTGGCTACCAGTGAAAGGAAAAAAATGATCTATCTGACGCGATTTTGTATAGAGTTACATAAGCTCATACAAAAACCAGTTTTTAGTAAGTTTTTCGTTAGTACTTTTTCATAAGTTCGATTTATATTGAGGTCCTACCACCAGTAATTACGCAAATTATAATTTTGCGGGTTTGATTTTTATTACACGATTCTAATAAACAACATTATTTCCCTTGATTACAAATGGTTTTGCAATTTCAGCATTTTCTATTGCAACTAGATGGGAAGACCCAGTAACGAATGAATCATTCACAAATACACCCCAAGGTCTGTACCGACACGACTCATAAGTTCATGACATGAATTTAGAATCCGGTTGGTTTGTCCGACCCACCAACTTCTATTGTTCTTGCTGTTACGAAAGCGATGGAAATGTCACGAAGCGATAAATGTGACAGAGACAGAGCAAGTACGTACATAACTTGTGACAGATTTTAAGTCTTTGACTAGCAGCCATAGCATACCATCGTTATAACCATTTAAAGTTATGTGGGTATCTGAAAATTACTTTTCAATAATTTCGTTTCTTTAATTATATTTTATTTAATCTCTTTTATTTAATCTTTTTGTAAAGAAACTGTCGGTCAACCTATAATTTAATTTTAGAAAAGTATTCCTTCAGTAAGTTTATTTATTTGGTATACCTACCACTAACAATTTTTTTCCCTACTACGCCGCCTATTTCCCTAATACGACGCCAAAATGGGTCTAGCTAATGGTATCTTCTACCTTCCATACTAATAGTACTACGTGCTTCACGCAAAAGAATTCTCAACAAATAGTATTGAAATAATTGCACTAAAATTCAGAGAGTCGATTGTAAATTATTTTGAAAATCAGTCACATCTAATAAAGCATCCGTAACTGGTAATAGTGAAGTTCGGAAGTATTTCGTTAGCCTACGCAATTCAAAACGTTCCCAAACAGGGCTGTCACATACACCACACGAACTTACAAATAATTAACATTCAAATGACGAGGTTGCAGTATGTAATGATAAAATATGAAATCGAAATTCCATAAAGCGTCTCATTAAACAAAACTGTTGTTTTTTTTTTTTTTGTCAAAAACATTTTTTACAACATTTTTTTACTATACTACTCGTAGTTTCTGCATTGACCCAGCACAGTCTCTTGAAAATTTTATGAAGGATTCCTAAGCTTCTAGCCTACACTCCCAGGAGGTCGCACTTTGAAATTCACGTCGGCAATACCTTGAATAAAACCCAAGAGAACTCGTAAAGTCTTTAAGGCAACCCTTGTTCAAACCCAACAGGAGCAACTATACCGAAATAGTTGTTAAATAAACTTTGATTTTCGGCACAATTATAAATATTTCTAGGTTTAAGTTCTGTTAAATCGATTACCGAACGAATTTAACAAATTTTCGAATATTTCAAAATGTACAACATGGGTACATGGATTCCGGAAATGCTAGTAGTGCATAATCTGTAAAAAGCTTTGAATATTAACGGTTGGCTCTGCCCCTGGCATTGATGACGTTCATGATTGACGGTAATCACTCACCATCAGATGAGTCGTATAATTATCTGCCTACAAAGGCAATAAAAAAAGTATTATCAAACCTAATTCTTTCATACCATTATTTAAGGAATGCATATTTCTTCGATCTTTAGAGAGAATGATAACGATGACACGTAAAATCTCTTTGATGATAATGATAGATGATGGTTATCAAAGAACGAATGAATTACTATAAAACCTGTTGGTAGGACCTCTTGTGAGTCCGCGCGGGTATGTACTACCGCCCTGCCTATTTCTGCCGTGAAGCAGTAATGCGTTTCGGTTTGAAAGGTGGGGCAGCCGTTGTAACTATACTGAGACCTTAGAACTTATATCTCAAGGTAGGTGGCGCATTTACGTTGCAGATGTCTATGGGCTCCAGTAACCACTTAACACCATGTGGGCTGTGAGCTCGTCCACCCATCTAAGCAATAAAAACAAAAAAAACCTTTCGTTTTAAAACTATAATATTATTGCATTTATGTATATAAGAGACATACGACATAACCAGTGGCACCGTCGTTTAACCTTATCGAGTGGCTGGCTGCCAAGCAGGCTATCGTTAAAGTCTCAGAGCCTGCTCGGCGCCTCATAGCAATAGCTCGATTTATTTGTTGCCAATATTTATAAGCAGACGCTTTAGGCTGCTGTAGCTATTTACATCACGGTTATTCATAAATAATAATACATTTTACGTATTTATTTAAGTTATACATATTTACTATATTAAGCTCGTAACCCTAAAACGTCAATTCTTTATTTATTTTATCTATTCATATTACACATTAATAAAACATTTTTTTTCGGAATATTTCGAAAAAAGATATGAAGTGCGGTATATGTATGGATGTACTTGTGAAATAGCTACATTTTTTTGTACGATATAATATCCTTTAAATGGTTCTGTGCATCCACCGATTTAATGTGATCAACTGCATACGCTTTTAATATTGTTTTTAAATTTTGATTACGAACACTCATAGTAACAATTGATTAGCTTAAAATGCCTTAAGAAAAGGTAAGAAGCTGATTGGGCACTTTTCATTTTTTTTTACACTTATATATTTATTTATTTATTCAGCTATGCACAAAAGTGCAGCGGCAGACTAAATGCTTAAGGCATTCTTTACCAGTCAACCAAGGGCTTAGAGAGTCCTGTGGTAGGTGCACTGCTTTTTGAGAAGTAAGAAAAATAATAATAATATTATATACGTGCGTATACAAACACTCGCGCAGTAGGTATACATAATATACATAGACGTAACATATAACGCCGTTCTATAATCATACTAATAATATAAAATTTACACATATGTCTTATACAAAGACCACGGGTCTTATATGTTTAAATACATATTCTTATATAAATTATTATATAATCATAGACAATTTTTTTTATTATTATTTTTTATTGCATAGGTGACTGAATAGGCTCACTGGTGTTAAGTAGTTACTGGAGCCCATAGACATCTACAACGTAATTGCCGCCACCCACCTTGAGATAGTGAGAAGTTCTAAGGTATCAGTATAGTTACAACGGTACAGTTATACACAACTTATTAATATAACGCATTTATCAGAAACGATAAAAAATAAAAATAAAAATAATAATAATAGAAGAAATATAGTATATTGCACAGAAAACATTAGAACACACTATAATTGAAATTGAGCTCTCATGAGCACGGGATTTTAGAACTGAAAGCACTACAGGATATTTTCACCAACAGCCAACAGCCAACAATGTAAAAATGTGTTTTAAATTCGTTAAAGGATACGTTTCCCATTTTTTAAATCTACCTCCACTATTAAATGCTTATTACATTTGAAGGTTAATTAATAAAACCTAACTTATATGCAAAAACATATCCGTAAAAGAATAGAGAAAATAACCAAGATGTGTACAGGCGTAGATATTAAATAAATGAACCACTCAGTGTTTCCTGTTATATAACATAATAGTTTACAAATATAATAGAACGATTGTCTGCTCTCCCAAGTGTACTTGTAATTAATCAATTGAGGGGATATGCGACGCGAGCGCAGTCCGTTGTGTTGTGAGTTGGCGGTCAGTTCGCGATCACATAACAAACGTAGTGTTGAACAAGCGATATGAATTCAAAACTCGTGATTATTATTGTACTCAGCTCTTATTCGTACGGTACGTAGATTATTAATGAATTACCGTGTTACGTTTTAGTTACAATGCCGTCTCGTCTATCAACCAAAAGCAATTCTAGTAGTTTCTATATTCTATAGTAATCGATGTGAAAGACATTGATTGTGCGTTCTATGGCCTCTTTTTGTTACGGATATCAATAGTGTAATAATCTTATTTAATGTGTACACAACTACTTCACTACCTTTAAGATTGATAGTATTTAGTATTTTATTTTAGTAAATTCTCTCAGGCTGAGCCCTGTGAGCTCGTCTACGCATTCGCTGAAATCAACATATAACCCTTCGAAGATATTAGCAGTAGGTAGACTAAAAAAATATATTTAAATGCAAAATTATTTAGAATGTATACATATCATTACCAAGTTTTATTTAACTCTAAACGAATCTAATCTAAGTTTTATAGTTTCATAGAGTTGTTTTTATTTTTAATAAATGCTACCTGCCTACTTTTAATTAGCTTTAAAAAATCATATTTTAAAAGTATTTGACATCCTTTTAAAGATTAAAAACGAAATATTGTATTAACGATGTAACTAATTCATATTTAGCTATTATTTCGAGCATTAAAAGAGTTTTTGAGAGACTATACCACAGACGATTTTTTGAGAGAGGTATTTTTATCGAAATTACTAGGGGAAAAGCCGGCTTGAAAAATACGTGTATTAAATTTTAATGGATTATTATTCCAGTACATATTACATACGAGAACGTCACGCGCAAGTAATTCTATTGAAATACTTTTAACGAATTGCCTGTCAAAGGACAATAAAATGCATGAAGGAAAGAGCCAATTCTTTTTTTTTTAATATAGGAAGAATATGTCACCACGTCGTAGTGATTATTTTTGTAACATTATGGAATTCCATATAGTTAAGTCCTCCTCCTTTTTGTTTCAGGATTCCAGTACGACGGTCTCCGGGGTAAGCCAATTAATAACCATGAAATCATATTTACAAACTGTCTGTTTATAATCATCTAGACTGTTGTGAACACAAAAGCACATCACGCGAGTTCAAGATGTAACACAATCAACAAATTTCCCTATGTACATAATTATATATATCACTAAATAAATATATTGCTCGATTCTGGAAGCACACTGAGCGTATTCAAAACTAAATTAACTTCCTTATAGACAGTGTAATGTTTATAGACAGCGGTTTGATTTTCTTTTATCAAATAGCACAAAATTTTGTACGTAACTTTACGCAATAAAACTAAATTCACTTTTTAAGCCAACATAACTAACTTATAGACAGCGTAATATTTATAGAGTGATTTGATTTTCTTTTACCAAATTTTTTTTTATTGCTTAAATGGGTGGACGATGTCACAGCCCACCTGGTGTTGACTTTAGCCCATAGATAGATATTTACAACGTAAATGCGCCAATCACCTTGAGATATAAGTTCCAAGGTCTCAGTATAGTTACGACTGCCCCACCCTTCAAGCCGAAACGCATTACTGCTTCACGACAGAAATAGGTGGGGTGGTGGTACCTACCCGTGCGGACTCACAAGAGGGCCTACCACCAGTAAAACGTAGCAACCAATTTTGTATACAACGTTACGTAATAAAACTTTGTGATTATGCAGTGAAATTTGGCTGGTCTGACGCGCTGGCGGACATCGAATACTTCTACAGCATACCGCGCACCATAAAGGATGCAGAAAATGACGGTTGGCGCAGGACTGAACCACCGCCGGGACCTATTCTCGAGTTAAGGATGTACTGTCCTCCGGGAAGGGTTGTCTGCCCACTATACGATACTTCAGGCTTCGTGGCCGGCTTGCAAATAGCTGTAAGTATTTATATCTTTTGAATCAATGAATACAGGTCTTGGTTACCAATTGACTGTTGTTCAAAAGGTTCTTCGACAGTCGTTCTGCATTTAAATACAAGATTTTATTTCGATTGTGTACCTAATAATAAAGTAACACTTTTAAAGTGAAAATGATATTGGTGGTAGGGCGTTTTGTGAGTGCGCAAAGGGTAGGTACCACCTTCCTACCTGTTTTGCAGTCAAGCAGTAATGCGTTCCAGGTAAAAAAAAAATCTTTTCCCTACCTAGGCTGATAGCCTTGAGAGGCTATTTCAGCGTAACCTTATCTAGTAGGTGAGCTCACGGGGCTCAAACCGGAGTGACGCTAACACTGACCCTAGCAAGAGCAGTACTTCGCAGAATCTACCACCAGATCGGAAACGCGACCCACTGAGAAGATCCGGCGAGAAACTCAGTGGACTCAGTTTGAATGGCAGGGTAACCGTTGTAATATAGAACTTATGTCTCAAGATGGGTGACGGTGACGAGTTGACTTTGTTGATATCCATAGGCTAAAAGTTGAAACTGGCCAAATGAAATGGTTCGCTAGACGAAAAATCAAATTAAAAAAACTACGAGTATTTTGTAATAAAATATGTGAATATACAAACCGTATACTGGGCCTGTGCACTCTTATTTATTAGTTTTGAATCTGAGCTACCCATTACCAACAACATACAAACGGGCTTATGAAAAAAAGCCCACTGAGTTTCTCGCCGGATCTTCTCAGTGGGTCGCGTTTCCGATTCGGTGGTCGATTCTGGGAAGCACTGCTCTTGCTAGGGTCAGTGTTAGCAACACACCCGGTTTGAGCCTCGTGAGCTCACCTACACGTCAAGGAGAAGCTGATATAGCCTCTCAAGGCTAGCAGCATAGGCAGGAAAAAAAATGAAAAAACTGAAAAGCGATAGTCAGTTCACATAATATAGTTAATTTACAAACCTTATATATTATTATAGTAAATAAACTTTCTTTATAATGCAACAAGAAAGTTACAAAGCTTCAGCTTAATCGGACAAAATGTCATAGATCACGAATAAACAAACGCATAAGCAGTAGTTTTCGGGTAATTTGTTTTTTGTTTTATATTATTATTGTATTATATTTTATTGCACACCAAAAATATATTAAAATAAATAAAGATCATCTGTATTGAACTATTTAATTATGAGAACAAATTATGAAAGCATGAACTAATACTAATTTAAACCATAAAATGTTTACTTTACAATCACAAAACAAAAGATAAAATACAATTCTCTTCCTGGGTCTTGAGCGGTCAATTTGCATCCGTCGGTTTCGAGAAATTACGACGATTATCTAATTTATTCGAATCAAGTCTACAGGGGCTAAAGATGCCGCCAATATAACTATAGTCTGGTACGATAGAGTATGCACTTGAAAATTTTATTTCATTTCTAGATGTTCACGATTTAAGATCTTGCCTTACTGGTGTTCAGTTTTTTTTTCCTAACTTAGCTGATGGTCTAGAGAGACCATGTCAGCGTAACCTTGACTAGTAGGTGAGCTCACGGGGCTCAAACCTGACGAAGTTCCTAACACGAACCCTAGCAAGAGCCGTGCTTCGCAGAATCTACCACCAGATCGGAAACGCAACCCACTGAGAAAATCCGGCGAGAAACTCAGTGGGCTGTGTCTGTGGGTATTAACCCAGTAAATTATTACCCGCCGAGCCCTTCGTCGCAAGCGACGGGTTCAACGTGAACGATGACCGGTGCTTGGAGTACCTAAAAGAACCGTTAGTGGATCGGGAGGATCCGAAATGACGTGTTTTGGGCGACGTCGACTGTTTACCATTTGGTCCGCAAGTTCAGCTATGTAGTTTTCGGCGGCCACGATGAGAGGATTCTCGTGTTGTGCCGCTTTATCGAAGTGGGCTGGTCTTAAGCGGTTCCTAGCGCCTATAAATAGATACAACTCTGCAACTGTCAAGACCTAAATCATGAGTTCGAATTCACTATACAGAAATAACAGTGTTCTTAACGTGTAGATAAAACTATATAGTATTTAAAATCGAAGTGTTTAAATGTGACATAATTTTGCATTATTGTAAACGATTATTTAAGTATACAAGCTAAAATTCAATGACGTCAGCATTTCGGGATTGAAATATTTTCTTATGGCGATAATTCCGTTTAGAAACTTGCTGCAAGGGAAGGAGAGGGAAGACTTATGTCAACGTGACAGTTCTAAGTAAAAATGAACCGTACAATAATGATATACACGATTCAAATAAATTATGGCTAGTAATGATTCGTTGTGAACAAAGCAATGATACAACAAAATCAAACAATTCAAAGGACGTATTATTATTATTATATGATATTAAATAAATATGAGGAAATTGAGTCTTATTTTCATGATTGCCCAATCAAATGTTATTGAAAATTAAATAAGTAGTTTTTAAATAAATTTAAAAAACGAATAAAGTACTCCTTTAAGGAAGCATGGTACCAAAGTATTTTATTGTATACATAAAATTACAAAATTTTAATTAACTTAAAATATAATAGGTTAGATCAGCCCTCTGAGTTTCTCACCGGATCTTCTCAGTGTGTCGCGATTTCGATACGGTGGTAGACTCTGTGAAGCACTGCTCTTGCTAGGGCTAGTGTTAGCAAATTCTCTCAGGTTAAGCCCGTGAGCTCACCTACCCGTCCGGGCATAGCTGGAATAGCCCCTTAGGCTACCAGCGATTAGGTAGAAAAATATACATATCAGCGCAAAAGTGGCCTAACCCACATTTTTTTATATTCAAGCTTATAATTATGAAGTATAATGGAATTGATTTAAAATATAATAAAATTTGATGCAAAGCCGGCCTATCCATAGTTTCACCCATAGATAACAGACAGCTTTGTAAACATTATTATTGCGCGTATTGGTTTTTTGCCTACTCAAATTCAAATTCATGAAAACTTAAACCTCATTGCTCCATAATAACTATGGTAAGCTTAGGCCCTTAAAGTAAGATTATATATAACCTGTGATAACCTCAAATCCCAGAATCTGTGATAACCTCAAATAAATTTAGTGGTCTTCAAATTGATCTAACAGACGAAGACTCTGAAACTACTACGGTTAAAAAAACAAGTAAACCGCCCCCAATTATTCTATATGGGGTCGACGACATTAACAAACTTACTGAAATGCTAGAAACTGTCGCGGACGTGACAGAGTTCACATTCAAGATCACTAANAACAATCTGGCTGCCGCCTTGAAAAAACGAAGTTACGGTAAACGGCTCAAGAGAAAAGACGTCATATAGTTCAATGACAAATCTTAAATTTAGAGTAGATGGCTCGCTGGAGTCACGCTCTTACTGACTTAGAAAATTTCAACTCATCTAATAAAAGTACTGGATACTGATTGTAGATAAAAAGAGAGAAAAAAAAAAAAAAAAAAAAAAAAAATATATATACTAACTTAGGCCACATTTGCGCTGACGGCCTCATATATAGGTTATTATCGATTTCAACGTATTTATTTATACAGTCACAATTGAAGTCACCAAAAAAAAAAACAATTTAATTCATGAAGAGAACCTTTGCCAGATTCCGGTCGACGAGTTTGAATCTTCTGTTATCAAGCCTGAGAAGAAGTTCGTGAAATGGTACGCAGCACCCGCGGAAGGAGAACCCTCTAGGGACTATTGGACAGCCACTCAATACTATGTGTCAGAAGGTACTTTTCAATTTGAGTTTGTTTTTTTTTGTTTCGAAAGCAGATGTGCTCACGGCCTGCCTGATGTTGAAGGATCACCGTCGCTCATAGAAAGTGGAAATACCATAAATACCCGAACCAAGCCCTAAAACTAGAGACTTAGTCAAGCTATGCTTAAAAAGGGCTTTAATTCAGAGTCGAATGGAAGTAGATAAGTAGCAAAAATTATGCCTCAAATACATTGTCAATCAACGCAACATTTGCAGATTACCATTTGTAAGGATAGGCTAAAATAAACAGAACAAAATGATTTAAATAGCTTTTAAGCTTCCAGAGAAAGGATGGAAATGACGTAGATTGTCTTTCTAGAATCTCTGAAGGCCGGAGCCGGTCCACAAATAGAAAACGGAGCTACATTGCAGGACGGTGGAGTGTGGGTCGCCGGACCAGACGCTCACCTTCTCCGAATCCCCACCACGGAAGCTGAACTAAACAGCACTTTCTTCAAAAAACAGAATTGCATCCCAAATATGGGTACTGTAAAATTTATCTTTAATTAAATAATCAAATGCAAATACGTCACATACTCATCAATTCATATCGAGGGGTGAAAGGCTATTGGATTTAAGTGACAGCTTTGCAACTTTACAAGGGAGCCATGGAAAAAATATAACAAAAAAACTTATTCAGCTATTTGAATGGGGTAAACTTAATTTAAGTTCAATTAAAAACATCGCATTGTTGATACTAATACCAAATAAAACGGACCTTTAATTACAAATATAAATGTCGCATATTAAGCAAAATGTCGCTTAAACGATTTTCACCCCTCGATATAATTTAATATGTAGTAATGTACCAAAAGTGGTTTAGATTGTTCGTAAAACGTTATTCAATTATTCACTGAAATTCCATATTATTTCGAAATCGTATTTTAAAAGAACAAAAAAAATCGTATTACTAATACTAAAAGTTATATTATAACTAACTTGTTATCTTTATTAGAAAAAGCAATACGACCGTAAAACAAGTGGCCAATGACATCAATGGCCGATTTTATGGACAAAAATAAAAATACAAAATATAAATTTAAGCTTTTGCGTCTATCTAACATTATTCTATGCGCCAAGATTAAGGATAGACTATCACATTAGTTATCTACAATGTAGATGCAGAATGCAGTTTTTTTTTTTATTGCTTAGTTGGTTGGACGAGCTCACAGCCCACCTGGTGTTAAGCGGTTACTGGAGCCCACAGACATCCAACGCGCCACCTACCTTGAGATATAAGTTCTAAGGTCTCAAGTATAGTTACAACGGCTGCCCCACCCTACAAACCGAAACGCATCACTACTTCACGGCAGAAAGAGGCAGGGTGGTGGTACCCACCCGTGCGGACTCACAAGAGGTCCTACCACCAGTAAAAGTGTATCTATAATGTAGATCTACATTATAAGCACTAGTTTTTATTACGATTTCTTGTAGTGTGATAGTCTATCCTTAATCTTGGCGCTTAGAATAATGTCGTAGTGTCGAGAACTCGTTAAAGTTAAAATCGTGGTAATGACCGTAATGACTTGTTAAATAATAGTTCCTATATTATAAATTAGTGTTGACTTTTAAGTTCGAAACATTTTCAAAGGCACACACTATTATTACAACATGACAAGAAAAATGGACTGCGAAGAAATGCTACTGTGGTTCGCATTAATCACGGACAGCGAACTGGTTGGCACCGGCTTTCAGACCATAGGGAAACTAAACAAGAAAAATCTGAAAGATCGAAACTGGTTTGAAACAGTTCCAGGGGCCAGACGAGCAACAGAGGTAGGACAATGAGTATCATCATTCAGTATGTATTAGGTGATCAAGAGAACACGTACCTGTTATGTTTTGAGTTAATTTAATCATGGAAATGGTCGGTCTGGGTTAGGCACGGCGAGACAGCAATTATTAGTAGGCTATGTTAGAATGATGGCTATGTTAGAATTAGAACGGATGGCTATTGGGGCCAGAAAGTTCTTGAGTGGCGACCGCGTACCGGCAGACGTAGCGTGGGTAGGCCTCCTACAAGATGGACCGACGATCTATTGAGGACCGGTCTTTGTGGTGAGGCTTGGGGGAGGCCTATGTCCAGCAGTAGACAGTTGTGGGCTGATAAGAAGAATTTTAGAATATTTTTGAAGGCTTATGAATGGAAAATTGCGAACTAATTGCTGTAGCTTGTGGTGTCCGAGTTTGTTTAATGTTTTGCTATATACCAAAGTGAATGCTGCCTTAAGATATATAAGATTTAGGCTAGGAATCAGAATTGAACAGAATGGTGATGATGACATGAACCCTCATGTGTGCTCGGACACAATTACTCCGCCTACCATGAGCACTTAGAGCGCTATATTCTTAATTAAGTAATTCACTTCAAGGTTCCTTTGATTTAATTACACCATATCGCCCTCATGAAAGTCGTACATAGTCCCAGACATAGACACAATTTCTCGAAACGAAAACTAATTATGACGGATATGGTATTTTTATAAAAATCGTGGATATACCGCATACGATTAGGTGGTTTTTTGTCTAATTTATAAAATCACGAGCTCAAAACGTTTAAAGATTATATAAGTTTATGTAAGCTTAAAGTTTGGTCGCATCTGTTATACATTAGAAATTTTAACCATGTTGTCAAATAATTTACTCTACCTACAACAATAACGTATTAAAACATAGTTGCAACTTGCAAGTTTACGTCTTTCCTAATGAACGACGGACACTTCAAGAATGAGATGTCCCTCAATTAAACTATAGTTTATTTGTAGCTGGCAATACCACACGCCCCTGACTGCCTACGAGATTGGACGGAGAAGTATGGCGTTATATCAATGCACATCTACTACACGAATAAACCTTGGGAAATTCGTTGCAAGTTCGTTTTCATTTAATTCACTAATAATAATAATAATAATTAAACTATCGATTTCATTTAAACACTTAAAACCTCTTTCTTATAATGTGCGTAATTACTGGCCGTATGGCGTCTACGCTTGCAATTTTGAACACTTAATATTCTTTCTTCCAGGTCCGGTGATTCCATAAAGCCAGGTCCACCCCTGGACAGACTGATACTCAACGGCTTGCGATACGCCAACCAAATTTCCGATGAAGTTCAAAAATTATTCAGCGGTTAACCCTAAACTATAACATTTTAATTGACTGCGGGGTATTTGAGGCCATTCTGTAAACTGAAGAGGATTAATAGAGCTGGCCATATTTAACACGACAATACTAGAAAATCACGTTCAAAAATAATTATTTCCCAAAAAAATTGTAATACACTCAATTAAAAGTCGGCTAATGCGCTACCCCTATATTACAGATATGACGTTGGAGACGTATATNCCTAAACTATAACATTTTAATTGACTGCGGGGTATTTGAGGCCATTCTGTAAACTGAAGAGGATTAATAGAGCTGGCCATATTTAACACGACAATACTAGAAAATCACGTTCAAAAATAATTATTTCCCAAAAAAATTGTAATACACTCAATTAAAAGTCGGCTAATGCGCTACCCCTATATTACAGATATGACGTTGGAGACGTATATTTATAAATTGAACAGCAAGCACTTTAAGATACCTACTATTTTATTAAATACTAGCGGCCCGCCCTCGCTTCGCTTCGGAAACATTAAATTTATGTGCATAGATAGTTGAGTCCCGCGATGTTACCCGCGGTTATTGTCGTACCGCGGATGACGCCGCGCGGCGAAGCTAGTCTGAAAAAAGTAACCTAAGTTACTCCTTATATCATCAGCTACCTGTCAGTGAAAGCTCCGTGAAAATCGGTCCAGCCGTTCCAGAGATTAGCCGGAACAAACAGACAGACAGACACAGATAGACAGACAGACAAAAATTATAAAAAATGCTATTCTGGTGTATGTACCGTATATATATTCATATGCATGTAATAAAAAGCGGTTATTTCAATATTACAAACAGACACTCCAATTTTATTTATATGTATAGATAAAAATATGTTTCCATGCCGGCACGAGAAACGGTTTCATTGCACCCCAGGTTTAGTAAGAATATTATGTGTTGTTTAATAAAGCAATTTATTTGACTTGTCTTGATTTATTAAGTCAAAACTGGAAAGGAATACCTTAAATGTTAAATCTTAGATTTACGACGGTTATTTGGAGCTTTTTAGACAAGAAGCTCAAAGTAAACATACTGAATGATGCGAATGTATCTGAATCAAATTCCTGGAACCTCGATACTCGCTAATATTTTGTAATTGCGTTGTTACCTGAAACGTTTTTAGGACCGTCGAGTTGGTGGGCGCATTTTAGTTGTAGTACATCAAAAGTTTATGAAAGTACTGTTTTATTGTCACTGCAGCCTATCTATTCCTTTATATATTCCTTTTTCCTATCTATTCTAGTAGCCTTGAGGGGTTATGCTAGATTCGCCGAGCTTGTAGATGAGCTCTCGGGGCTCAAACCTGACGACGTTGCTAACACGAATCCTAGCAAGAGCCGCGCTTCGCAGAATCTACCACCGGATCGGAAACGCGACCCACTGAGAAGATCCGGATCCGGATCGGTGGTAAAATCTGCGAAGCACTGCTCTTGCTTTTAAAACGACTTTTTGTTAACGACAACGCTTGACATAATACGGCACAACAGATGGCCTCTAAGTTTGAAGAGAAGGGTTGGAAGTGTTGCGTTACCCACCGTAATCTACTTCTCTAGAATATAGTCGATCTATCGAAGGTTCGCGCTTAAAGGGTTATACAAATTCTTGACGGAAAAAAAGTAATATCCATTCAAGAGGCAGTCCAATTTTATTTTTATTGCCTTGTAGGCAGACGAGCACACGACCCACCTGATGGTGAGTGGTTACCATCGCCCATGGACTTCAGCAATGCTAGGGACAGAGCCAAGCCGCTGCCTACCGCTTCATACTCTCCACAAGCCTCGTTTGAAGAAGGACATGTCATAGCGCTCGGGAAACACCGTGGAGGAGAACTCACCGTCTCTCTTGCACCATGCTCCGAGAGAGACTGATGGCCGGTATATAGCGCATCCTCCGTGCTGTCATCCGCATAGCAATGCATGCCATCAATAGACAGCAGGTCATTGATATATAGGATGAAAAGCGTGGGGGAGAGCACCGAACCTTGTGGAACGCCAGCGTTAATGGTCATGGTATCAGAACAGTCACTGTCTACAACGACCGCGATGCTCCGCCCATCCAAAAAGCTAGCGATCCACTTGCAAAGACCCTCGGGGATTCCGTAAGACGGTAGCTTCGACAGAAGTGCCCTATGCCAAACCCTGTCGAAGGNATTGATATATAGGATGAAAAGCGTGGGGGAGAGCACCGAACCTTGTGGAACGCCAGCGTTAATGGTCATGGTATCAGAACAGTCACTGTCTACAACGACCGCGATGCTCCGCCCATCCAAAAAGCTAGCGATCCACTTGCAAAGACCCTCGGGGATTCCGTAAGACGGTAGCTTCGACAGAAGTGCCCTATGCCAAACCCTGTCGAAGGCCTTCGCGATATCAAGGCTCACAGCAAGAGCCTCGCCCTTGCTCTCCAAGGCTTCAGCCCACCTGTGAGTAAGGTATACAAGAAGATCACCAGCTGAGGGACCGTGACGGAAACTGTACTGTCGTAAATTACTTTGAAAACTTTGTTCGCTCCCATATACCACTCCTTCTTCACTGCGCTGGCCTATTGATAGTAATAAAAAATTCACTTTTTGTATACTGCAAAATTTCGTATGTAAACCTAATAAATTTATAATTAGTATCTGCAACTTAACTTTGAATATTAAATAAATCAAAATCTATAGGTACATAAAAATAGTGTTTAGAGCATTTTCCTGAAAAAAATTAATATATTATAAACTATTATAAATAAATTAAACTGCAAAAGTATTGAAAGAAAACACCAAATATACCTATATTTTTTTAATTTGCTTTATTTAACTCTAGCAGGTGCTCTATGTGATCGTTTCTTCATTTTTTGTTCTCTTCGCTTCAAGTGTCGCTGCACACGGCTAGTTCCTTCCTTTTTCAGACTTTCATATTGCTTAACCAAAGCTTCTACACGTAGTTCAGCTGAAAAATTAAGGAACCCAAAAAATTTAATTTATTTCTAGGTCTCATATTGTCATTTAAGCAAATGTTATTTATGAGATGAGCTATAGAAATACAAGTATGAGTAGCTAAATTGAAACTAACAGTTATATAAATAAAAAACAACAACATGGCACCAATCACTTTAGTCGTGGCCAATGAATCAATCAATTAATCAAGAAAACAGTTAATTTTGGTATACATATAAATCACATACAAATAGATTTGTAAGTCACTTAATGCATTGCAGAAATGACTTATGTAGATCAGATATTTATTTTCCTTGCATACTACATTTCTCATAATGCAATTGAAGATATTTTTTTATATTATTAGTTCAACTATTAATATAATACATTTCATTAAAATGTTGGCATATGAAGCCAACCTATAATGAATATGAAACCATACAACACTAATTACAATTTGAAATGTTGAAATCATAAATGTCTGACTTTTTACTTTTAATAAAGATAAATATAGTAACAAGTATTTACATTTGTTCTTGAAGTGTGGCTGTTTGCCCTCACGGAATTGCTTTTCAACATCATCTCTATTCTTTTGAGCAATTTCTCTATCCAACTTGTTTCTTTTGCATGATTTATGTTGATCATTCAATCTTTGTAATAATCTACGTAATTTTATTTGTTTTTCTGGATCTGTTGTTTCTCTCAGTTCTTGTCTAGCAGCTTTAATATCTTTCATACGAAGTTCAGACAGAAAACCATAATTCTGTGAAAATTGCTTCTTATCAAATTCTCCACATAATGGGTCAAACCTGTAACAAAAATATTTGGTACATTCTGCCTTATTTGTAACCTTAATTTCCCATATTTATTAATCTACTTCCAGTCAGAGTTGACCTTGTGTGTGACAATGTCTTTCCTAAATAACCATTACCTTTATAAGTTGGTTACAATTCAAATGGGATTAAAATTTCAACCCTCACATCCCTATCTGGATACAAACACTGTGAAAGAAAACAAGAATGATGGTTGTTTTATTTCACAGCTTCATGTAACCAAAAGTAACTCTTAAAGTCCAGTTTTTTTCCTATATCAAAGTACTGGCCAATGAAGACAATTTCTAAAAAACATGACAAGTTGGTTTGATCAAATCTGCACCACATAGAAACCCCATTCCACAAATCCCTTCACGCAGCCAATTAACGGAAACACTGGAAAGACATCATAAAAAATAAAATCTTGTCTAAGCATGATGATCACGACTCAGCAGTGAGGAAACAACACGAGGAGGAGAACTGTGATTTCCTTAACTAATACAAGTAGTAACATGATTCTATTGTGCTGGTTTATTTATATGGGCTTCATATAGTACCTTGGGTCTCTTACTTCTTTCTTCTTCACATGCGCAACCTGAACTACTGGCACTGGTTTCTTTGAACTAATTTCTCTTGGTCTGTTTTTGTTTTCTCTTTTGAACACTTTAGGCGGAGCATTTACTTTTTCTTTAGTTCCAAACAATGCCTCTTTGTAGACTTTAGCTCCAATTTTTTCCTTCAATTGTTGAAGTGCCTCAAAAGATAAGGAAGCCAATTCTGATCGTATTGACGTCTAAAAATCAGATGAACGTTAATGAAACTTCTACCTCTATTCAATAACATTTCAAAACATGTAGTTTTGTATATATACGAAACAAAATGTTACCCTTTCGTTGTCTCCAATTTCGTCCACATGAGAATCTTCATTATCTTCACTGCAGCTCATTTTTAGTAGTAGGTATTGAATTAAATCACAAGGTTTACTTTTTTATTAGGGGTTATTTATTTTCGACTTTTCGACAAGTATCTGTTTTTTTTTATGGGATTTTATGATCTGGTAACTAAGACCTTTAAGTCATATCTTATTTTAACATTCTTACTTTAATGAAAAATGACTAATAAGATATAAATTAGATGATAAGAATATAAATTAAAATAAGATATGACCTAAAGTTGACCTTTAGTTACCAGGTCATAAAATCCCTTAAAAAATGTATGGTAATATATTCTTCATAGATTATAACAGAAATGTATGTATGTAATACAATGCAGTATTTATTAAAAAATATTATCTTCGCCTTATTGTAGTGTACAATCTATGCCTTATTGGCAAAATATTGTAAGCCTTTTGGCGGGAACGCGAGGAGTGAAGTTGTGTGATTTGTTTTATTTTGTCTATTTCGTATTTCTTCAGGTTTAAATGTGTAATATCGGTGGTTTATTAACTGTTTAATATCTGTGAAAGTGCACATATGTGGAAAAATGAAACAAAGGCGCTAGACATAACTTCTGCGATCCTCCAAAAAGTCCTCTGAAAAAATCTCCGTAAATGACCACCATTTTACTGAGATTACATTTTATACCATATCATCTCATCTCATTTCGTTTCATTTCACTCCATATTATCATTTTTCATAAAAATAAAAATATAAATTAAAATAAGACATGACTTAAAAGTCTTAGTTACCAGGTCATAAAACCCCATAATAAAAAATAATCTAATTTGAAAACGAAAACTGCAAATAAAATCAAAAACAATTTCTCATATCGCATGAAAATATTATTTTCGTAATCTTAAACCAAAAAAGGTTAAACCGCATTATTTATTGTATTTATATGGACAGGTTCAGTGTATCAAAGTGCATAAAAAAATACTTTAATATTTACAGTGGATCGGTATCTGTGAAAATAAGAAAACGATTATTTGATGATTTTGCTCTAAGTAATTCTGTCATGGAACATGAAATATTTATAACCAAGCACACTGTGCAAGAAAAAACATTTTATTTAAAAGTACTTTGGAGATGGAATCCTGAAGAACTATTTTATATTTATATCAATAAAGACAATTCAAGTTGGTCTGGTGAATATTCCATTCAATCAGCAAATAAATATAGAGAAGAGTATACTGATGATTCTGAGGAAGAATTTATCGAAAATGTTAAAAGAGCATTTAGACAAAATAACAGTGACTTTGACTACGACTTTAGTTCACTTAAAGATAAATCATCTTCAAAATTTACATGGAAAAAAAGATTTGGAGGAAAAAAAGTTATACAAGGTACAGTAAATGTAGTTTGGGATGATGTACCCACAACTAGGGAGACTTTAATTGATAATTTGTTACAAGAAAACGAACAATTAAAAACAACAATTAGAACTAATAAAGTACAAACTAAAGCTCAAGAAGAAGAATTAGAAAAGTGTAAAAACACTATAGAGAAATTTGTAGACATCAAGACAACAGTTGAAGAAACATTATATGCAAAGTTTGTCCAAATTTTGAATGAAAAGAAGAAAAGAATAAAATTGTTACAAGAATCTTTGCAAAAATTGGGAGTATCAAATGTTTATAATTCAGAAAGTGAATAATTTAATTTTTCACATTGAAAAAGTATGATCATACCTTTTATAATCTTAATTAATAAAAGAAAGAACTCTTAAATATTTTGAAAATCAGAAAGTTTTATATTTGACATCTTTCAATATATCATAAGTGTTTTTAATTTAATTACATATTATACATATATGAAGAACTGAAATATGCAATTATCATGAAAACTATTAAATATTTCAAACTTTATAGATATTAAATAATGTTAAAATAGTGCTCTACACAGCAGCTGTGCTGTATAATTTTTTCTTTGTAGCTTAGTAATGCACCTGTTTCTTTTAGTGCAAGTTTTAATTATTACATGATTAAAAATATTTTGTATTATTTCTGTTATAATATTTAGAAAAGAGTTAACATGAGTTTTTCATACATCCCTTCTAGTGGTGAAACACTATAAAAAATTAGGGTAGTTGTGATATTATACAATTGAACTTTAACACTTAAGTTTTTTATTTTACATGAGAAAAAGTCATTAATTTGGCGATTGAGATATACGATTGACCTCCATTACTTTCTCAACACTTAGCTTGTTTAAATCATCTTATCTCTTTAAATTACTTCTACTCTATTAATGTATAATAATAATAAATAATGTAGGGAGTAAAGTAAATTAGCCTGTACAGTTTTTAATTTGTTAAATAGGCAGATTTGGATAGCTTTCTTTGGATAACCAATCCATAGGCTTTGTCATGCAGGGAATGGGGGGTGGCACAAGACCCGCAGGATGGTGTCACAGTGGGAGATCCCTGAAATGAGTGCAGCAGAATGCCATAAGCAGGGACATATGCAGGGCATCGTCATACAATCATCAAATCCCGTCTTATCATCAGGACGGGTACTGGCAAAGGCGGACTTTCGGCGCGCACTGCGGTACCGTAGGTCTGGTGTAGCCGGTGTGGTGGAGCTCGATGGGGTTTAGTCGGTAGTCGTTCTGCGGGGCAAGTGCTTCGCGCGCCTTTTTCAAGGCGTAGTCTCTTGTGAGGAATTCGGGGAGGTGGAGGACCTTGGCCCTCCTCGTCCCCCTCTTCCTCTCAGGAGGCGCCGGAGTCCGACATAACCCGGTTCGTTACCCCCCCGGACCGGGTATCCGTAAATGGATTCCCCAAAAGAAAAAAAAAAAAAAAAAGAAAAAAAAAAGGCATATTCATACAAAATAAAGCCACAATTCTTCATTTCGTGGTTTAGGTCGTAGGTTTAGTGATAATTATTGTCAATTCTAAAAAAATCTGTAAATTTATATGATCCTGAATACATGGTTTGTAAAATGTCATATGTTCCTATTTGTACATATCTTGAGTGTAGCACTGGATATCTACTCTGCCTATATTAGATGACAATGTGAAGTAATGAATTTCTGGTTTACAGACTTATTCCAGTGATGTTTACTGTAGTAACTCTTAAAATAGAAGAAACCTGTAAATAAAGTCCCTGTAAACCTGTAAATAAAGTAAAAGTAAATAAAGTGAACAATGCATTGTTCACTTGCCTTGCCAGTTTTCTGTTTATAAAAAAGGATTATATATAAATAATACAATGCCATATTGAAATAAATTATATTTTATCTTTTTTGTGAAACGCTTTACTTAAAAACAATGATTCATAAATGCCACTGTTATATTCAGTAACTTCTTCCAAATAATGTAATGAATTTGGGCTTATTTTTACAAGCCGGGTGTATGCAGCGGTCAGATTCAGATAATTGTCTTGGAGGTTCAAATGGTATGCAAAGTGATTTCGCACCCATGGCTGGTGCCTTGACATCAACGTTAGGGTCGTCTTCTGTCCTGTTATAAAAAAAAAACTTGATAAACGGAAATACTATACACTAAGACAACATAAATGCTATTTTTATAAAAATGAAAGAGTAACAAAAATCAAGATTAGTAGAGTTCATTTAACATGTGCTCTAAATCTCTTTTTGAATTGGTATTCATATTAATAATACTAACATCCAAGAAATGTTTGAATTAAATGTATGTAATTGAATTTACTATTGTTAGGATCAGTGTCATAAAATTATTTTTAATATGTTTCAAAATACCTTGCACTGTCGTTCTTAATGTTATCTTCACACGATATCTCTCCACAAAATGGTGCAAGTAAAATGTTTTTTTCTTCAAGAGCAGCTGTGAAATCTTCCCATTTAGTAACAGATGATAACCGAGCATCTCGATCTTTCGTTGCTCTGAATTAAAATAGTTAATAAATTTTAAATGAAAATGTATTTTTAAATAATGAAAAATACAATTAGGTTTATAACAGCCAGATTTGACTTGAAACATGAAGCCTAAATCTCCATTACATCAGAATAGCCCTCTAAATCAAACCGGAACTCACAATTACTTGGTGGCCGAAATAGGCAATATTAGATTTGGCGAACTCTTATTTGCACGTCTTGACACCAGTAGGTAAATAAGTTAGAGCGAGTATTTTTTAGGAGACATATATCGTAAGATCTTTCAAGTTGAACTTACCTTTCAAACATTTGCGCATGTGTTTTATCAAGGAGTTCAACAATGTCTTTTGCAACAGAATCACGTTTGAAGACCATCTTATCACCGGTGAGACGCTGTACTGCTACAACTGTACCCTTTGCTATATCCTTGGGACCTAATTCAACTCTTACTGGAACCCCCTGGAGAAAAAGTGAAATGTTTTAATTCAATGCTTAGAAATCGAATATATTGTTCTCTCTTCGTGAAGTAGATGTAGTTTCAGCGAATTTTGTCTAGTTGTAATTATTTTTCGGAATTTAAAATTAATATTTCAAGTTATGTATTATTATGCATGGACAAAAATTAAACGTAGTTTCGTGCCACGTTTTATTTTCGCTATACATTAACCAAACAGTTTGAGTCGGCATAGTATTTTTAATAAAAAGTATTTAACTGAGTATTAAAGTATTTAACGTCATACTGAGATCTTAGAACGTATATCTTAAGGTGGGTGGCATATTTACGTTGTAGATGTCTATAGGGCTCCAGTAACCACTTAACACCAGGCGGGCTGTGAGCTCGTCCACAAATATAAGCAAAAAAAAAAATATTGGTAGAACAAACAAAAATTTTATTTATTTATTTATTTACAGTTCATGTAAAATTTACATTTGCGGATTTAATGCCTAAGGCATTCTCTACCAGTCAACCAAAAGTAGTGCAGAGTAAATAGTGTAAAAAAAATACAATAATGACCTTCAACTCCCAGTGGTTAAACTTCCAGCCAGGCGAATAGTTATCCCTGTAGTCGCCTTCGGCCCTCACTCCAGCGGCGAGCAGGTCGTCGACTAGCGCCTTGCAGGAGTCCATCAGCGCCTGGCGCTCGTCCGCCGAGCTGGACGCCGTTATGCCGCACGGCACCACCACCGCCTGTATCTCGGCGACGCGGGGGGGCAGCACTAGGCCCTTGTCGTCTCCATGAACCAACACCATTACACCTAAGATTATTATATATTTTCGTGAATAATGTTGAATTGTTCTTTCTTTTTATTGCCCTTGTAGGCAGACGAGCATACGGCCCACCTGATGGTGAGTGGTTACCGTCGCCCATGGACTTCAGCAATGCCAGGGGCAGAGCCAAGCCGCTGCCTACTGTTCTTTAGTTTTATTAAACTAAATAATGCAATGGTTAAAAAGACGAAACGTCGCGTTATGGGATGACGTTAGAACTGAACAAATAGATACTATAGAGGGCACGAATATATTTTTTTCTTAAATTGTAGAACATAAAACAACCATACAAACATTTTAAACAATTACATTTCAATAAAAGTTTTTAAGGTAAATGTAAAAAAATAAGAATGTTATGTTGCATTTGTGAATACTTTTGGTGATCCATTCCAGAGCCCGAACAACCTAAAAGACAATGTATCATCCATTCAATTTTCTAACATACCAATAGTTCTAGTTGTGATGCCCCACGAATTCTGATAGACGTAATTCTTCTCCAGAGTTTCGGCATCGTCGTATACAATCTCGAACATCTTAGAAAAGTTTTGACCTAGGTGATGACTCGTCGCTCCCTACGATGAATATAAAATAAAAATAAATGGATCTGCTTTTAGTGCTGAATAATTTCATTACTTTTAATTGGTTTTTTGTTATGTGTTTTGAGTTTAATTGTATTATCATGTTCGTTTACTTTTTTTAGGTTATGAATGCAATTTAATATAATATACGGACTTTTTGGCGGGAACGCGAGGAGTGAAGTTGTGTGATTTTTTTTATTTTGTCTTTTTAGTGTTTCTACAGGTTTAAATGTGTAATAACGATGGTTTATTAACCGTTTATGTATCTGTGAAAGCGCAAAATTATGGGAAAATAAAACAAAGCGCTGCACATAGCTTCTCGGAATCCTCCAAAAAGTCCACGGAAAAAGTCTTAGTTTTTTTTATTATTTTTTTATTGCTTAGATGGGTGGACGAGCTCACAGCCCACCTGGTGTTAAGTGGTTACTGGAGCCCATAGACATCCACAACGTAAATGCGCCACCCACCTTGAGATACAAGTTCTAAGGTCTCGAGTATAGTTACAACGGCTACCCCACCCTTCAAACCGAAACGCATTACTGCTTCACGGTAGAAATAGGCAGGGTGGTGGTACCCACCCGCGCGGACTCACAAGAGGTCCTACCACCAGTAAATGACCACCATTTTACTGAGATTATATTTCATATCATCTCATCATCTCATTTGTAAATTTAACTCGTTTTTAATCATTTATGTTATGTCGCGATTACTTTTCTTCGTTTTTTATTATTCTAAAACTAAATAATTAAAAAGGTAAATTTTAAAAATCTTATTACTTGACGCTGGCTAATGCAGGAGCCAAAGAATAAAGTAGAAGAAGACGTGAATCTATTTACATGGTTCATAAATTAACTAATTCTAGTCAACTGCTTAACTATCCCCAGCATTTTTGACGTCCATGAGATGAGATGGATTGTATTTTGTTCGTCTGTTTATAAAGTAAGGCTTGTCATTTTGTTCATTCTGAACGTCACGTTACGTTATATTGCGTTGATCCAAGCATGGTATCAAGTACCGCTGGAGTGTGATATCTGGGCGCCGGAACGAGTGACGGCGTCTTTTATCGAAGGCCAAGACCAATTTCGAGATTATAACGCTAGTACGCACATTATAGCGTTCTGATTATACCACGTTATAACCGATCTGGTGGACCGAATGGTAAACAGTCGACGTGGCCCTAAACGTAGTGGTGGTAGTGGTGATGGTGGTAGTGGTGATGATGATGGTGGTGGTAGTAGTAATAGCAGTGTTCATGCCTACGGGCAATGTCAAGTGATTATTTAAAGACAGTAAGTAGCTCCTACCTGAACGCCTCTGCCGCTAGCCGGTACGTAAGCTTCGACCGTGGTGGTGTAGTCGCCGCCAGCAAACTTCTCCTTCTCAGTTTTACGGCCTTTGATCACCGGTATCGCTAGCAACTCTTCGTATACGCGAGCATATAAATCTGTAAACCAACCATTATCATAAGACAAGTGTATCTTCTACACAATTTAACAAATGACAATAAATGATAATTTGAGTAGAATCTTTTTTTTTTAAGATTGAAGGATTACTAATAGCCCGGAGGCCTTTCCAGTTTCACCAGGACATGTGGGCGAGCAAAGGCTCAGCCAGGAGGGGTGGGATTTGCTAACAACTGCCCGAGTGCCTCCGAAGGAGACCTAACAACTCAAAAGCAGCTGCTTCGCGAATGAATCTACTACCGGATCGGAATCGCGTCCCGCTGAGAAGGTCTAGCGAGAAACTCAGCGAGCTAATGCATGGGTTAGCCGAGTAGGGTTCGTCGTGCTGTTTTGTACCTACTGACTTTTGTAACACAGGTTTTCCTAACATAAAAGTCAGGGAATATTGTTATTGTGTACCTCAAAATAAAGCCATGTATACTATTATACTAGTGTTATTAATTTTCGTACGTGTTTGTGTTTTAAGAGGCTTGAATAAATATTATTATTATTACCTAATATAATTAAGACCTCTTCGGCCGCCTCCTCTTTGGTCCGGAAAGCAGTGTGTCCTTCCTGCCAGAGGAACTCGCGCGTCCTCAGGAAAGGTTGCGGTTGTTTGAACTCCCATCTCTGTGATAAGAATAAATTTTACTGAAAAAAAGTTTTATTTAACTAAAAAAAAATTGGGATTAATGGTGATTTGTATAATATAAAATCATTTTAAGTTTATTAAAAGTTGAGTTAATTAATGCTCTCTTGATTGCTCTTTGTAAGAAAGTTGAAATCAGTCCTAAAATGATCTATGAGAGAGGATGCGTAGCAAGAATATATTGTTGTCTCTCTTGCACACTCGTGTTATCATAGCGCGGTAACGTGAACAATCATTATGCATATTTAAGGATTTCATATTATTTCGTATCAGACTCGTTTAAATGAAGTAAATGTATGATAAAAACTGATCGCATGGATAACGTAAATATCCATTTACTAAAGTGTTGAATTCGACAAGTTAAGTATATGTATGTATATCTGGCCCTATTGCGCCGGTTTGTTGCATGTAGCGGGGCCCTGAAACTGCGACACTTTAAGGCAAATATTTTTTGTATGGGAATTAGCTTGCAGCGGATGCCCCTAAATTTATATGTTGTTAAATGTTAAGGCATTTAATTATTGTATCATTAAACACAGAAAATAAAAAGATAATAAATCATACAAGTCTGTATTTGTTATAGAAAATTGACTAAATTTTATCAATTTATGGTTTCTGAAAATTTACAAATACCTTCATTAAAAATAAAATATAAGATAGGTAATATTTTACTGCCATCTACAGGAGCAATGAGAAACTAATCGACGCGAAGCCATCTAGTGGCCGACGCCCGTAAACATTTTTGTTGAGTGCTTAAGTTGCTTACCGATAGCTAATTTATGTGTATTATCTATGTTATGTGTATTATCTATGGCGTTTAGGAGTAGCGTGCGAGTCTCACAACGACGTTGTTCCACTGGTTGAGTTTGAGCGGCAGGTCCCTGTGGCTCTGGATCCACTTGGCGTAGGCGGGGTACATGACGGTCTCGGAGGTGGGGCGCACGGCGATAGGCTCAGCGAGCTCGGACGAGCCCGAGTGCGTCACCCACGCCACTTCCGGCGCGAAGTCCGCGATGTGCGTCTTCTCTCGCTCTAGCGCCGCCTGACGAACAATTGTGGCGGCTAATACAACTGGCATTTCTTACTGGTGGTAGGACCTCTTGTGAGTCCGCACGGGTATGTACCACCACCCTGCCTATTTCTGCCGTGAAGCAGTAATGCGTTTCGGTTTGAAGGGCGGGGCAGCCGTTATAACTATACTGAGATCTTAGAACTTATAGCTCAAGGTGGGTGGCGCATTTACGTTGTAGATGCCTATGGGCTCCGGTAACCACTTAACACCATCTAAGCAATAAATAAAAACAAGATATTTGACAGATGCTTGAATCTCGCTTACGACATTTTCAACATAAGCGTGCATATATATAAGTTCCGAACCACAACATTCGGACTGTCGGTCTACCGAGAAATATCACCCGATCGGTGGAAGATCTTCCCTTTTTCGTTATATCTACACAATCAAACAGTCTCGTTTAAACATATGCGTTATGTATAAATGTATTTATAATTTTAGGTATAATTTCGCGGTAGGCAGCGGCTTGGCTCTGACCCTGGGGCATTATTGAAGTCCATGGGCGACGGTAACCACTCACCATCACGTGGGCCGTATGCTCAGCTGCCTACAAAAGCAATAAATAAAAAATTAAGAAAATATTCAGGTCATACTTCACCATACCTAACTGTGCGAAAACCATCAATTTCTTAAAAACACTTATGCTCCAATTAGTATAAGTTTATCGTACAATATTATGTCTATGAGCTATTCTTATGAGTGAGCTTTTAACGATGGTTTTTTTTATTGCTTAGACAGTTGGACAGTGCCCATAGACATCGACAAAGTAAATGCAGCCATTCACCTTGAGACATGAGTACAAAGTCTCAGTTTTTACAGTACAACATCTGATCCACCCTTCAAACCGAAACGCATTATCACTTACTACTTCTTTTTACTACTATTTGTGTGAAAAAGTAACAAAGTTGTACATCCTCACAAATTCTACTACGATGCAGTCAGACGTTCCGAATTGAAGAGTGAGACAGCCGTTATTATATTCAATCAAGGCTTTGAATTCATGTATTAAGACGGATGGCGGTATTCACATTGTCATATTTACTGGTGGGTAGGACCTCTTGTGAGTCCCCACGGGTATATACCACCGCCCCGCCTATTTCTGCCGTGAAGCAGTAATGCCTTACGGTTTGAAGGGTGGGGCAGCCGTTGTAACTATACTGAGATCTTAGATATTTCAAGGTGGATGGCGCATTTACGTTGTAGATGTCTATGGGCTACTTTTTTTCCTACCTAAGCTGAGAACCTTGAGAGGCTATATCAGCGTAACCATAACTAGTAGGTAAGCTCACGGGGCTCAAACCTGACTTGGGCTCCAATAACCACTTAACACTAGTTGGGCTGTGGGGACCAGGGGGCCAGGGGGACCATATAAGCAATAAAAAAAAATCCCGTAACGCCACGTGAGCCGTAAGCTGGTTAACCCGTGTAACCGATAAAAAAAATTAATATTCCAAAATAAATATTTTCTTGGTTACCTTCGATACGAATATAGGAAAGTATCCGTCTTTAACTCCGAGCTTCCGGAATTCGGCACTGAGGAAGTGCCTTATCGTGTCCCATATACTGAACGACCACGGCCGCAGTATGTAGCAACCGGATATGTCGTAGTAGTCTATCATTTCCGCTGTAAATAATGTTTTATTTTGTATTTAATTTCTTGTCGTTTCTTATTGACCAATTTTGATAAAATACAATTTGAAAATTATAATATGAGACTCACAATAGAATTTAAAAAAAAAACGCGTGAGGCGAGTATTAAATGCATACAATACATATTTATGTTGACTGTCACAATGACAAAAAAAACTGCTTAAATAGGACGTGGTCACAGCCCACCTGGTGTTATGTGGTTAACGGAGCCCATGGACATCTACAATATAAATGCCACCACCCACCTTGTGACATAAGCTCTAACGTTTCAATATAGCACAGCGCTTGCCCCACCCTTCAAACCGAAATGCATTACTGCTTCACGGCAGAAATAAGCAGGGTGGTGGTACCTACCCGTGTGGACTCACAAGACGTCCTACCACCAGTAAATTGAAACCAGTTTATCGATTGATGAAGTGCTTATTCATTGTTATTATTAACTAGATCAGACAACAAGAAAATATTAAAATTTCACTTATATATTTTTTTTATTCCAGAAGAGTTGTAGATTTTTTGATGCTCCAGAACGCCGCGACTGACGTCTCAAGGTCGAGGTGACGTCTCATGAGGCCAATCTTATTGTATTTATAAAAGTACGATCCTTCAAGCCTACCGACTAATCGCATTAGGCCCTACCGCGATATTGTCCGAACTATTTTAGGATATATAACAAAAAGTCCCCGCTCACATTTCGTGATGACTTGCGAATACCATTCGGATAGATCAGTCTCCTTGCTGGCCTCCAGCCCCAGTCTCGTGACCTTCTTGACTCCGCTTGAAGATTCCTCCTTTACAGGTTTAGCAGGTTGCGCCTTCGGTACCTACAATACACAATTTCTTACTTATGTATCGCACGCTTCTGAACTGAATCAGCACGAAATAGGACTAATTTTAGTGAAGACACGAAATAAGTTTGTGTGTGGTTTAGAAAATCTCGTAAGTCGATTATCCAAGTACAGTAATGCCCTTATAAAACGGCACTCTTTTAAGGCATTTTCATACTGCGCGATTTGTCCTTCGTATAACACGGGTATTCCCCCATATAACGCGGGGATGTCACACGTTATATTTCGGTACTGTGAAACGTATAATGATTTGTACAGTTCATAATTAATTTCGCGTACCTTTGCACACTGTTTCAATTATGTTGTAATAAAATACAATAAAATTTTTAATATTTAAATTGAATTTAAGATATTGAAATTTTTAATAATTTGTGTCCCTAGTTTTTGAATTGTTGAAAAATTGTGATATATTGTATTATATTTGTATCTATACTACATTTGTGCATAACGCGTTATATGAGATCATACATGCGCGTTACGCGAGAATACTCCTACAACACGTCTCTTATAACGCGGAACCTATCTACCGTCTTATAGGTCTGTTCAGAAGTGCGAAACTATTTAATCTGTCCTACGAAAGTAGATGTTAGTAAAGTCCCTGAGGCTGAACACTGGGAGCTTGTCTACCAGTCAAGGTGAAGCCAGACTAGCCCCTCCACGCTACTGGCAGATAAGGAGGTAAACAAATAAAGATACCTTAGCAGCCGGGGTCGGTTTAGCGCTCGCCTGATTGCTTTTTGCTTGATTAGGTTTCGGCGCCCAGTCGCTTCCAGTCATTGCTTTGTATTGAGCTTTGAGGTTCAACAGATTTTTGACCTGAAATACATAATACATATTTATCAAATTCACGAACGATTCGAATATAAATAGCCCTACGAAATTTAAACGAATTTAGTAATAGTAGACTAGACTAGATTAGTAACATTTTTATTTTATTTGGAGGAAATTAAAAAAGAATGATCCAAAGTGTTAGCTTAGAATAGCGTTATCCCCATGGGTGTCGTAAAAGCCGATTGAGAAATTTACAAGATAATTGACGGTAACATTCTCAGGGTGTTATACCAGCGTATTGTGCTCGTCGACTGACATTCATTTAGTTGAACCCTTTACCGTTTAGTTTGAGTCCTTCAAAACAGGTCGCACGGCTACCTTGCTAAAGAATACTGGACAGAATGAAGGTGTGGCTGTGGTACAGCTGCTTCACCCTTGCGTATTACAGATTACTGCTTCATGGCAGAAATAGGCAAGGCGGCGGTACCAACCGTGCGGGCTCACAAGACGCCCTACCACCAGTAATTATGCAAATATAATTTTTGCAGGTTTAATTTTTATTATAGGATTCTACTCCTTCACTGTTGAAGTCATTCGTGAACATTTGTTAAGTACTACGTATTCCATTCCGAACTTCCTACGAGGTCCCCGCGCCTATGGGGCGCGTGGGGTATGTGGGACAGGTCCACAACTGCGAGACCGCGGGCTCAAGGATGTTTTCAGGGCCCTACGCACTAAACGACTCCCCTGCACTCTTCGCCCAAGCGTCCGATCCTCTCTGATGCCAGAACCCGGATGAGGTAATGGGGTTACCGCGGTCAACAATACAACCAGACGACGCAGCTCACCCCAAGGACGTCTGGCCGACGGAGCCTTCGAGGCGAATCGAAGGCACCAACCAAGTAATTATGGATTTCAATTTACCGCAACTCAAACTAAAATAAAATATTGAGTAATTTTTTAATTCGTAACTAAACCCCAAAGATACACGTTCCATTTTCCCGTGACAAAAAGTTGCCAATACTTTTTTTTTTCCTACCTATGCTTATAGCCTTGAGAGGCTATTTCAGCTTCACCCTAACGTGTGTAGGTGAGCTCACGGGGCTCAAACCGGAGTGTTGCTAACACTGACCCTAGCAAGAGCAGTGCTTCGCAGAATCTACCACCGGATCTGAAACGCGACCCACTGAGAAGATCCGGCGAGAAACTCAGTGGACTGTGGCTGTGGGTTAAGGCGCAGTCAATACAAAACGCAAAACTACAAACACTTGGCAAAACCTTTGAAGTTACATTTCCGTGTAGTCGGATCGAAGTTCGTTTAAATATGAGTTAATAGACAAATATGGAAACCTTAACTCACTTCGACGTCGACGACTGATTTATCGGCTTTTTCGCTTTTGATCCTCCGAACTTTGTCACCTTGGGCTTCGATTTGCGACGCGAGTTCCGCTACGTTCGGATCGGCCGCCGGCGGAGCAGCTTGCTGCGACGGCGCTGGTTTCGCTCCCGGTTTCCAGTCCTGAAGGAAATCGATACGTCGTTAAAAGTCGTCGTGGTCTAAAGGATAAGACGTCTGGTGCATTCGTGTTGACCGATGCACCGGTGTTCGAATCCGAGGCGGGTACCAATTTTTCTGATGAAATACGTATTCAACAAATGTTCACGATTGACTTCCACGGTGAAGGAATAACATCGTGTAATAAAAATCAAACCCGCAAATTTTAGTTTGCGTAATTACTGGTGGTATGAACGCTTGTGGAAAAAAAACGTATTCAAAAAAAACTAAGCTGACGTGAAGAATCGATTCCTCTCTGCCTGCTATTTTTTTTATTGCTTAGACGGGTGGACGAGCTCACAGCCCAGCTGGTGTTAAGTGGTTACTGGAGCCCATAGACATCTACAACGTAAATGCGTCACCCACCTTGAGATATAAGTTCTAAGATCTCAGCATAGTTACAACGGCTAGCCCACCCTTCAAACCGAAACGCATTACTGCTTCACGGCAGAAATAGGCGGGGTGATGGTACCTACCCGTGTGGACTCACAAGAGGTCCTACCACCAGTAAAAAAAGTAGTAGTAGCATTGAGCAGAAAGAAGAAAAGTATTGAGAGCTGTCGGTATAATCAATGCCAATTCATTAAGCTTTTGTCTGATTCCTTGGCTGCAGAAGGCGGGACGCTTTTGCATTATTGACAAGTAAAGCTGCTCTCAGACTACGCTATACTATAGTGCCATATATAGTATAGCAGCATATAGTAAGCAGATAATATATAGTACAGTGAACGTGTCCATAACAATGTATGGTGCGCGATATTGTTGTGCTATGAGCTATATACTATATGCTATTATATTATAGCGTAGTCTGAAAGCAGCTCAAGGGTCCTTAATACGTAAAGTAAAATAAAATAATACCTTATACTTGAAAAAAATAAATAAGGTACATCTATTTTTTATTAACTACCAGCGACAGGCCATCGCTTCGCTTCGGAAACATTAAATTTTATTATTGACTAGCTGACCCGGCAGACTTCGTAGTGCCTCAATCGATAAATAAAATACCTAAACTTTTGTATAAAATAAACTTAAAACAAACAAAAGGAATCTGTCCGACGGGGGACACATTAAAAGAAAAAACAAAATTGTTATTTTGATTTAATTCCGAGCATTTTCATTCATTTATCTACCTTTTAAACCTTCTCTGGACTTCCCCAAATAATTCAAGACCAAAATTAGACAAATCGGTCCAGCCGTTCTCGAGTTTTAGCGAGACTAACGAATAGCAATTCATTTTTATATATATAGATAGAAGATAGATGTTCGTAATCCATCCGTTCGCGTCAAATTGAAATTTTATATTTTTTTTATAGTTTATAGTTATAGTTTACTTTATAGTTTAGCAGAAAGATTTTATAGCAGTACCATCAACAGGTGGCGCTTGAGTATTAATAAAATATGGATTTTATTAGCATTGGTATAAAACCTACATTTTTAAACTATTGCATAGATTTTATCGCGGGCTTTGAGCGCGGCGTAACGAAAACAACCTAACACCTCTCCGCCTACCATGTAGCTCGCGTTCAAAACATTCACACGTTGTGCTTGTGTAGTGTTTGTGAATAAGCGCGCGGCGTGACGTCGTACTGCATGCACATCATGAAAAGTCTGGTCTCTCTCTCGCGCGGTCTAGCTTATGAGTGTAAAGGGGACAGTTAATGTTTTGCTTTAGTTAATGTTTATAAATATAGCGTGGTCTTATTTTATTATTGTTTTAATATTAAATTATTATTGTCTAATTATAATTGCATAAGTTAATAAAAAATGCTATGCAATAGCTTTACCGTGACAGTCCCCGAGTGCCACACGTGTTTTTTTTTATTATTTTGATGGGTGGACGAACTCACGGCCCACCTGATGTTAATTGGTTGCCGGAGCACATAGACATCAACAACGGAAAGGCCGCCGCCCTACCTTGAGACACGAGTTCCAAGTCTCAGTTTTTACAGTACAACGTCTGCCCCACCCTTCAAACCGAAACGCATTACTGCTTCACGGCAGAAATAGGCAGAGTGCAGCAACCTAGCAGTTGCAGAGAGCAATGTACCCGTGCGGACTCACAAGACCTCTCTACCACGAGTAAAACATACACTTAGCTGTAGTTAAAGCCAAGCGTTATTTACTAGTGCACATAAGAATTAGTACAAATCCCGCGGTCGATCTAGAGACGTATTCACATAACGAGCGCTTTGAACATCTCACTTATTAACAAACCAAACGCTTTGGATCTTCATTTATTTTTCAAATCTAAACATACTATACCGTTGAATCAAACGAATTGTACAACGAGCAAAGCCATCCAAGATTGAGAACTATTTGAAATTAGAAGTCATCTCACTTGTCCGGCAGCAGCCTTGTACTTCGCCTTCAAGTCCAGGAGTTGCTTGACGGCCTCGTCGATCTTGGCCTTGTCGGCTTTAGAAGCTTTTAGCGAGCGCACCAAGTCTCCCTGCGCGGTGACGTCACGATCGAGGGCGGTGACGTCATTGGACGATGCGGGGGTAGCCATTGCTGCAGGCGCGGATCCTGGCTTCCAATCCTAAAACAAAGATATATATTTTAAAGTCGAATTTATTGTCCCATTATGCTCCCTACTGGAGAGGCTGTAATTATTGCAATTAACATGCCACTATCCTGTATGATACTTCGATATTCGACTTTAAAGTTTAAAGTCGAAGTCGGAACGTCGGAACGAAGTCGGAAGGTCGTCGAATATAAATGTCGTCCCAGCCTTCAATTCGGATCGCGCGACTGTTTTGCGGCATACACACTACTTGCGACTACAAACATCACATACTATAGTAAAAATATATAACCGAGAATATGTTTGGGTTGAAATAGTTTGCGTGATCGCCGTACGACCGACGTTCTAAATATTATTATCATACTGTTGCGTTTGTGTGTGTTTTTGTTTTGTAAATAAATACATATTATCTATTTTTAATGCATGAACAAAAAATTTGTAGCCCTTTTTACGAAAATTGCGCGGACGGAAGAGTATGAAATTTCTCACACTTATAGAGAACATAGAGAAGGAGTGCAGAATGCTAATATTTTCTAAAGTTATGCATTAATAATATGTACATTAAATCAATAAAAAAATATTACACACCATCATGTATTTGACACACACACACATATAACTCTTTGTTTATTGTCAACCTTTTGTTAATGCTTAAAGTCTATGGTCAAATTGAGAATAGTTTAATATTGTTTATCTTTAATATTATTTGTCTATAGTGTAACCTTGGCGAAATCTGTGATTATAAAAGTATTTATTGTCATTATTATAATAGTCTTTATCATAGTCACCATAATAATGTTCTAACTTATAATTTCAATTAATTATAGTCGAATTTCGACTACTGCGGGACGACTAGTTATTATAAATTCAGACTAACTTGTCCAGTGGCAGCCTTGTATTTGGCTTTGAGTTCCAGCAATGCCTTGACAGCCGCGTCAATTTTCGATTTTTCGGCCTTAGACGTTTTCAGGGAACGAACTAAGTCGCCTTGCTTCGTGATCTGCTGGTCTAGCGACGCTGCGTCACCGGAGGGAGATGCGGAAGGTGCTGGTGCTGGTGCTGCGGTACCTGGCTTCCAGTCCTACAATATATTAGCAATTTAGTACTACGATAGATAATAAGGTTAACACATAGTAGATACAAAAATTTTTTTTGAAGAATTCGAATTTCGATCATGACGAGTTTCAAATTTAGAAAATTGAAAGTTATTTACATATTTATTATGTTTTTATTTTATTTAGGTCTCATTTGTATTTGGAATTGAAGAATTCTTTAAGATTGTTCTGATTTGAAACTTTTAAACTCGATGAAACGACAACAATCCTATCTATAGATTTACACTAATAAATAATAGTCTATAAAACTAAAAAACACGCTTTATATAAAATTCAACTAAAAAATAGAAAATAAATTTTAAATCTTAAAAAGCACCCCAAGCTTTTTGTTTTTTAGTTTTTTAAACTATTGTTTATTTTTAATTTTTTAGTAAAATTTTCTATAAAAGCGTATTTTTAAAACTATTAAGTACTTTAACATCAATTCCTGCCTTATCGACTATAGATAAAAATTATATAAATTGGCAAAAATATTTTTTTGCAAATTGAATAATGGAATAGGTAATTTTGTCACATTAGTGTAATGTCATCGGTCCTCGATAAATCTACAAAGTTTGAATGAAATCTGGTAGATGGCGCTATTATTAAATATTTCAGATTTTAAAATTGAAATCTGAAAGCTTTGAAACATCAATCCGCATAAAAGTAATTTTAAAACTAGAAGAAGAGGCTTGAATAAAAAGCCGAACTTAACTTAGCCTTAATTAGTATTTTCTTCGGAATTCAGTAGTAAAATTCAAGTTATTTTGATGAAATAAAAACTGAAATATTCATAACATCTTAAACAAACACCTACGAATAAATATTATTTCACAATGGTTTTAGTTTTGGGAAGGGATTTTTTTGTAACGCCATCTCGTGAAGTTTTTCGGTATTACAAAACAAAATTATCCCTGCAACAGTAACAATGCAAGTATGTATCTAAAATATTTAGATACTAGATGGCACTATTCTAAATTTTGTGTGCCAAGCATTTAATAATTTTGCGTAAAATCGTGTTTTTTTAAAAACCTGGTTTAGCCTGGGTGTGAATGAGATATAATATGTTTTAAGGTCTCACTTCAACCACATAGATCATAGAGCATTACCAGCATAGAGCTTAATCTACGTTGTATTTTAATTCAGTCCGATTTAATTTTCATTATTTCATTTATTGCGCGTATTTATTAGCGTCGATGGCAATTGCTCTCTTGCCTAATTTTAGCGATTATCGGCATATTTTAAGACGTTAAAGCAGTCTCAAATGTATGAGAAATACGACCAGCTTATCGAGAGTTTGAATTCTGAAAAGCGCGATTTGCAGCACAAACTGACAGGACGCACGGTACTTGCTCAGTAGTCAACATTAGAACTAGAACATTGGGGGAAGGAATTTAGTAATAATTTAATAACCGGTTAATGCAACGCGCCGGCACTATCATTAGTGACGTTTAATCGAAAAGAAGCGACACCGACAGCTAGAGGCCAAGGTCGCTAGCCTGTATCTTCGGGCAAGACAGCCTTATCGTGTCTAATCGATACAACTTTCAGTTTTAATATTGATAAAGTTAATATTTTGTAATGTAATGCAATAAAGTACTTTGTAAATAGTATGATATAATAAATAATAGATATTATAACAGACGTATTCTAAAGGAATTCTAGGATATTCAATAGGAAGTGTCACCGAAAGGCCTGGTCGAGATTCAATAGTTCAAAAACTAATTATAACATATTCGTTATAATGCTTTGTAGAAATTTCATTAAAAATAGTAAAGTAAAATCGTATGGCATATTCAAGCTAGATGATACCGTTTCGATATGCAGTGTGGAATTTCGTGTAGTTAAAATGTTAATTAATTATTATGCAATTTATCGTCTATTGTTTTACTGACGACATCACTACTACAGCATATGTAAAATGTAGAGGTCAAGTGTCTCTGTATCTGTATTATTTTGTGGCAACTTATCACGTTTTTGCAGTAAGCTCTTTATCTTCGTCATTATTAATGTAAATTGTTTGTATGACCTAAAAAATTAATAAGTATTTAAACTAATTAAGAGGTCACTCACTTGTCCCGTGGCCGTTTTATATTTTGCCTTTAATTCTAAAAGCACTTTGACAGCTTCGTCAACTTTTGTCTTTTCGGCTTTAGCAGCTTTGAGAGATCTCACCAGATCTCCCTGTTTTGTGATCTGGTCGTACAAATCTGACGAGGTTGGAGTCGGCGCCGCGGCCACCGGCTTGCTTGCTTGTACGCTCTGAGCTGGTTTCGGCTGAAAATTTTATGCAAATAAAATTGTTGTTGTCGTTATAATTTAGTTTTTGAGGACAGAAAGTCGTGGAGAAGCATTGTGCTTCGAGCAAATATGACATGACCTCCAGCAATGAAGACACCGACTCAGAAGAAGAAGATAATTTAGTTTTATAAAATAGTATGAAGCGAGATCCTATTTTAAGAGGGAAGACGCCCGGATTATCCGGTATATTGTTATTATCAAATAGTAAAACAAAATAATAAACCAGAGTAATTTGTTTTTATTGCACTTGTAGGCAGACGAATATACCTTATGGTGAGTGGTTACCGTCCCTCATGGACGTCATCAATGTCAGGGGCAAAGCCAGGCCGCTGTTTTTTTCTTTTTTCCTTACCTAAGTTGATAGCCTTGAGAGGCTCTATGTCAGCGTATGAGCTCACGGGGCTCAAACCTGACGCCAGGCCGCTGCCTACCCCATTTGGTGGTCAAGCTCTAAGTGTACTTCTGGTCTCGCTCTACGTGTCGTGTTTCGGGTATCCATAATAAAGCAGAAGAAATATTTATAGTAATTGTGAAGTGAAGATTTTTGTGGTGAACCACATTATGTGAGGGGAGAAGTCACACCATTACGATACCGCGATATATTAGTACTACTTAAGACATCTACAACACTATCCGATACAATGAATTTTGCATAGAAAATACTTTTGCTCACTGTTCGGGTGCTCACTGATAAAAAACTTTAAGTAAACGCTACTTAAGATCGATTTTCCATCTACGTATAAACACGAAAAAATAAAAGTGCAAATTTAATATGTAACATGGTTACCATGGCAACTTTTTGACTGTGTGGAGATGTACGAGGGCTGCACTAAAAGTATCGGGAATGGAATATTTCCACTGTTCCTGTCATATTAAAATCTTTTTAATTGAAAACTCCTTGGTTTTAAAAATCGAATACCATTTATTTATTTAAAAAAAGATTCTCAGTCTTGTCACGAGGTTTTGTCAAACTTGGTTTAGTCGTTCAGAAAATTGAATTGACTCGAGAAAATTCAAGAGTGATGATTTATTATGACTTTCGAAGTGGTTTAACACAAAAACAGTGTGTTGACCGGATGATTTCTGCATTTGGTGATGAAGCCCCATCCAAAACCACAATTTATCGCTGGTTTGCTGAGTTTCAACGTGGACGTGTCAAGATCGTCCAAAAACTGCAGTCACCCAAGAAAACGTTGATGCTGTGCGTAAGCTGATTGAGGAAGATCGACATGTGACATACCGCGAAATTCAGGCAACTTTAGACATTGGCATGAGTCAAATACAAATAATCTTGCATGAACAATTAGGTGTAAAAAAGTTGTTTTCCCGATGGATACCGCATTCGCTCTGTGAAGAGCAAAAAGCGGCTCGCGTTACTTGGTGCGTCAGAACTCTCGAAAGATTCCACGCAGGATCCTCAAATGCTGTATACAACATTGTATCAGGTGACGAATCCTGGATATACGCGTACGAACCCGAAACAAAAAACCAGTCACGAGTTTGGGTGTTCGAAAATGAGTTAAAGCCAACAAAAATTGTTCGTTCACGGAGTGTTGCAAAAAAAATGGTGGCCACGTTTGTCTCCAAAACCGGCCATGTTACGACTATTCCTCTTGAGGGACAAAGAACGGTTAATGCAGAATGGTATGCTAGCATTTGTTTGCCACAGGTCGTTTCTGAACTCCGTAAAGAGAACTGCAACCGCCGCATCATCCTCCATCACGACAATGCGAGTTCTCACACCGCGCACAGAACAAAAGAGTTTTTAGAGCAAGAAAACATAGAATTATTAGACCATCCGCCGTACAGCCCCGACCTAAGCCCTAATGATTTCTATACTTTCCCTAAAATAAAGAATAAATTGCGTGGACAGAGATTTTCATCACCTGAAGAAGCTGTGGACGCCTACAAAACGGCCATTTTGGAGACCCCAACTTCCGAATGGAATGGTTGCTTCAATGATTGGTTCCATCGTATGGAAAAATGTGTCAAATTTCGCGGAGAATACTTCGAAAAGCAATAAATACATTTTTAAATAGTGTGTCACTTCGTTAATTCCCGAAATTTTCAGTTCCGCCTAGGTATCGGATGAGTGTTACTACGCTGCTATCGACGGAAACGGTCAAGACTTCCGTTGATAATGGAATTCTCGCAAACCGTTAGATGTTGAATGAAAAACGTTACTCCAATTCACAATTAATAATGCTGGTTAATTACAGAGAATGGAATTTTTTACTGGTGGTAGGACCTCTTGTGAGTCCGCGCGGGTAGGTACCACCACCCTGCCTATTTCTGCCGTGAAGCAGTAATGCGTTTCGGTTTGAAGTGCCGGGCAACCGTTGTAACTATACTGAGGCCTTAGAACTGATATCTCAAGGTGGGTGACGCATTTACGTCATAGATGTCTATGGGCTCCAGTAACCACTTAACACTGGGTGGGCTGTGAGCTCATCTACCCATCTAGGCAATAAAAAAAAAGATACTTAGTAGGTTTAGTGATAATTATTTATAATTCTAAGAAAATCAGTAAATTTATTATATAAATGATCCCGAAAACATGGTTTTTAAAATGTCATATGTTCATGTTTGTACATTCTTCACCTCTATAAATCCGAATGCATTAAAAATACGAACTAAAAAGATATTTGAAAATGGTCAGTTGGCCATATTAAAATGGTAGCCTTAATTGTCCCCACCTAAGTGAATATATTTCGTTTTTAGTTCAATTTTAATTTTAAATAACTGGGAACAAATCACGTACGGTCATATGGCTCCAAATTAGGATTCTCTGTGTTAATGGGTACCATAGAGTGACATACACACTTATATACATTTAAATATATAGACAATAAACACTGAGAGAAAGAGCAAATAAATCTGTTCATCACACGATTGTTTGACAGATGTGGGAATCGAACCCACGATCCTTGGCGCAACAGTCAGAGGCTCTAACTAATGCACCGCCGCGTCAGACAAATTATTATAAGAAAAATTTAAGAAGTAAAGGAAAATAATGAGTAAATTCGCGTTATGCCTTTGGCAACCCACACGAACACTTTACATTTTGAACTCAAATTGAGTACTCTGTTCGAAGCGAACCCCATAACACGAACTAATTCATTTAAAATGTACTTGATATCGTTTAGAATAACAAGATCCAGTCTTAATGTCTCTATTGACCGCTTTCGGATATGTTCAGTTGACGGGTTATCAAAGTTCAAACAAGAGATAAAAAATTATCGTGCAGACAACTTTCAGTGAGCTTTAGCACAAAGAAACGACATTCAATTTAAACAGAAATGAAGTAATCGTCAATCGTCTTCGATAAATTTTCATTAACCCATTACGGACATATTATGTAAATAAGTCATAAGAATTTCAATAACTTATTAATGTACTATACTGAGACCTTAAAACTCATATATCAAGTTAGGTGGCGGCATTTACGTTTTAGATGTCTATGGGCTCCGGTAACCACTTAACATCAGGTGGGACGTGAGCTCGTCCACCCACCTATGCAATAAATAAATGTTTAAAAGATAATTACATATTAGGATTTTCACTTTTATTTCCAAGGGTATTTTAAAGAATTTTCCTATGCCGGAACACATACGAAACGGGTTTTGTTACAGTGTACCATTTTAGGTGGCCTAAGATGTAAAGGTAAGCTGCAGTATATTCATCATTTTATTACCTCAGATAAACGAAAAAAATAATTACATAGTTAGGTTACTTAAAAAAAAATACCAAAACCCAACTACATACTTATCAATTATTATTACTTGTTTGTGAAAGCGAGTTTTTTAATCGAGGGGTCTAAAAGAAAACACGCCTCAGCTACAAAGCACCCGTGCTGAAATAATCGGGAAATTCGTAAAGTATATATTTGGTCACAATTTTAATTGTCTTTAACGATTTCAAATATCGAAAAAAAAAACATTAATCAAAACGAACCAAACTTAAATAAGATTTCGACATAAGCGATGAAGAAAGTTGGACTCAGGTGTCTTTGCATTTTAACATTGGACTGAAGCTTATTTTCTTTTAAACCCTCAATTGAAAAGAATAAACTCAGACTATTATTGGTTGGGCATTGTTTACGTTCAGGTGGGCGGTATGTCGTGCCTACAAAGTAAAAAAAAACAGTAATCTAGTTATGATAGATAAAACGTTATAAATTCAGATAGCTGTATCTATTTTTCAATGTAAATGTGACCTAAGAAAATACGATAAGAAATACAACAATTATCTCGATATTACTGTAATAAATTGTGTTTCCTTTGTGACTAAACGGCGCCTACTAATCTATATATTAATACGTGAGGCAAAAACTTTGAATCCCTTTTTACGAAAATTGCGCGGACGGAGGAATATGAAATTTCTCACACTTATAGAGAATATAGAGAAGGAGTGCACAATGCTAATAGTTTTTTAAAATAATGCATAAAAGATACTTTAAATCAATAAAGAAAACATTACACACACACTACCATGTATTTGACACAACACAAACATAAAAATATACTCTTTGTTTACTGTCTATTGGGAAACTTTTGTTATTGTTTAAAGTCTGTGGTCGAATTGAAAATAGATTTAATATTGTTTGTCTTTAATTTTATTTATCTATAGTGCAGTTTTGGCGAGTACTGTGATTATATTATCGAATTATAATAGTGTCTGACAATAGAACCATAATAATGTATAAACTTATAATTAACTGTAGTCGAATTTCGACTACTGCGGGGTCACTAGTGAAAGTAAAATATTAATTACTCGGTCTCTTTCTTTTTGCCTACCTACCGCTAGTAACTTCGAGGGGTTTTAATAACTTCATCGAACGTGTAGGCGAGAGCTCAGGGGGCTCAACCTGAAAAACTTTGCTAACACTTATTCATTTGCTTAATATTCGACGTAACCCCTTCTAAGCATGCTGGATTTTAATAAAATGTGGTTAACGTAACCTTTTACTGGTGGTA